CACTCTTTCTTTTTCTTAGTTCTTGGATGTGCTCGGCCAGGGATAACACGACATTGCCCACTACTCCACTCAGGGATGAAATGGGAGATACTCTTGTTTCTTCTGGAGAAAGATTTGAACTTGGATTCTTTACTCCTTGTGGGAGAAATGAAGGCAAGAAATACCTAGGCATCTGGTATTACAGATACAACCCTCAAACTGTTGTGTGGGTTGCTAACCGTGAAAATCCACTTGATAATTCCAGGGGAGTTTTTTCCCTCGGACAAGACGGAAACCTCCAGGTGATGGATGTAAATGGAACATCTTACTGGTCCGCAAGGATAGAATCAACATCATCTTCATTTTCTTTGAAGCTCATGGATTCCGGGAACTTAGTCTTGATCCAAGAAGCTGCAAATGGTTCAGCAATATTGTGGCAAAGCTTTGATTATCCAACTGACACATTTCTTCCAGGAATGAAGATAGACAAGAACTTTATGTTGACTTCTTGGAAGAGTTCCATTGACCCAGCACCAGGAGACTTCAAATTTCAGCTGGATGAAAGAGAAAACCAGTACATCATCATGAAGAACGGATCAATTCCGTACTGGAAAAGTGGAGTTTCTGGAAGTTTTGTAAGATCCGACGAAAGGCTCTGGCTTGTTTCTAACTTGCTCATGAATTCCAGCAGGAAACCAAGCAGTCCTCTTGGGAACACAACAACTACAAAGGAAAGTCCTTATGATAGAATAAATTCAACAGCTGTGAATTATAAGAATACAAGACTGGTGGTGAATTTCGATGGGCAGATACAGGTTTTCCTCTGGAGAAATGCGAATTGGACTTTGATCTGGCGGGAACCAAGTGATCGATGCAGTGTATTTGATGCTTGTGGGACTTTTGGCATCTGCAATAGTCAAAATAGGATTCCTTGCAAGTGTTTGCCAGGATTTCAGCCCAGGTCTCCCGATAATTGGAAATTAGAAAACTTTGCAGAGGGGTGTGAAAGAATGTCACCTTTATGCAGCAACGATGTGGCTCCGAAGTTCCTGGAGTTAAAATCGATGAAAGCAGGAAAGCCTGATGCTGAACCTGACTACTCAGATGAAAATGACTGTATGAACAAGTGCCTTAGCAAATGCAACTGCCAGGCATATTCTTATCACAAGGCTGAAAATGGGGATAATAATTTTACATGCTGGACTTGGTTTAAGGATCTCAACAACATTCAGGAGCAGTATGACAGGGGTCGTGACTTCAATGTCCGTGTGCCACTTTCAGCTATAGGTACTTAATCCTTTCAATACGGTGACTTCGTATCTGCATAGCTGATTTATCTCTTAGAATTTTGATACCTGGCTATTTTAGTTACTGAAAAGTAAACACACGTTTGCGACTCTAGTTTATCATCTGATACGGCGCTTGATTGCAATGGTTCTTGTACAGTAAGTTTAATTGTTTTAATACTTCAAAAATTTCAACTTATTCCTGCATAATCTTTTGTAAGTTAGCATTTGCAGAATCAGTCTTGCGGATTGAGTTTGCCACAGATTAACAAAAATAGTTGTGTTGGTGTTGTCTATTGGTCTATTTCAGGACAAAGCTAGAATCTCATCAGGTTCTTACTTGTTCTGCCAGACTGGAATCAGATTTGGCTGTCACAAACTCAAAACTATCTAGCAGATTGCTAAGCTAGTAGCTAGAAATGGTTATAGTTTATAAAAGTTTTCCTCAGTTTTCAAATGCATAGATTCAGAAGTAAGGATATACAATTTTAAATTGCATGAACTTTGACATGTAGACATTCCACTCTTTCAGCATCGGTGACAAGAAAATGTGAGATGTGCGGCACTACCGTAATCCCCTACCCGCTAAGCACTGGACCAAACTGTGGCGATCAAATGTACTTCAGGTTCCACTGTGATGATTCCAGTAGCCAGCTTATGTTTGAGGTACCTGGTGGTGCCTACTATCGTGTAACTGGCATTGATGAAGAGTTCCAAAAGTTTTCAATACATGTTGAAGATGCAAGTTGTAAAGCTATCGAGTTGATGGGAAACTATACGCAGAGCATCCAGTCCTGGCCATTTCATGTAATTGGAAGATGCGACGCTAACCGTAGTAATAGTAGAATAGGTTCATCATTTGAAGATACAGGATTTGCTGAAGTTGAAATCGGGTGGACTGATCCATCTGAACCACTCTGTTACTCACTCGATGAATGCAATGACTGGCGACATTCAACCTGCAGTTTTGCAAGAGATGGGAAGAAAAGGTGCCTTTGCAATAAATCCTTTCGGTGGGATCCCAAAACGGTCAATTGCATTTCAGGTAGATTGACAATAACATTTTAAGTGATCTATATCTAGATTTCTTTGTAAGCAAGCAATTCAGATATCAATACGGTGACTTGGTACCTGCATAGCTGATTTATCTCTTAGAATTTTGATACCTGGCTATTTTAGTTTCTGAAAAGTAAACACATGTTTGTGACTCTAGTTTATCATCTGATGCGGCGCTTGATTGCAATGGTTCTTGTACAGTAAGTTTAATTGTTTTAATACTTCAAAAATTTCAACTTATTCCTGCATAATCTTTTGTAAGTTAGCATTTGCAGAATCAGTCTTGCGGATTGAGTTTGCCACAGATTAACAAAAATAGTTGTGTTGGTGTTGTCTATTGGTCTATTTCAGGACAAAGCTAGAATCTCATCAGGTTCTTACTTGTTCTGCCAGACTGGAATCAGATTTGGCTGTCACAAACTCAAAACTATCTAGCAGATTGCTAAGCTAGTAGCTAGAAATGGTTATAGTTTATAAAAGTTTTCCTCAGTTTTCCAATGCATAGATTCAGAAGTAAGGAAATACAATTTTAAATTGCATGAACTTTGACATGTAGACATTCCACTCTTTCAGCATCGGTGAAAAGAAAATGTGAGATGTGCGGCACTACCGTAATCCCCTACCCGCTAAGCACTGGACCAAACTGTGGCGATCAAATGTACTTCAGGTTCCACTGTGATGATTCCAGTAGCCAGCTTATGTTTGAGGTACCTGGTGGTGCCTACTATCGTGTAACTGGCATTGATGAAGAGTTCCAAAAGTTTTCAATACATGTTGAAGATGCAAATTGTAAAGCTATCGAGTCGATGGGAAACTATAAGCAGCAGCGCAACCAGTCCTCGCCATTTTATGTAATTGGAAGATGCGACGCTAACCGTAGTAATATTATATTAGGTTCTTCATTTGAAGATACAGGATTTGTTGAAGTTGAAATCGGGTGGATTCAACCATCTGAACCACTCTGTAACTCACTCGATGAATGCAATGACTTGCCACATTCAACCTGCAGTCCCGCAAGAGATGGGATGAAAAGGTGCCTTTGCAATAAATCCTTTTGGTGGGATCCCAAAACGGTCAATTGCATTTCAGGTATTCTGACAATAACATTTTAAGTGATCTATATCTAGATTTCTTTGTAAGCAAGCAATTCAGACAATGCTGCTAGGACAGTAAAATTTGCTACTTCTGACAAGTAATAATGGCTTGTTTGTTAGTCCTTCCATAAATTTGTGCAACTATATAGTTGAGTAAAGAATATAGTTAACCTGCTGCCTCAATGATAATAGCTTATAGCAATAATTTCTCTGATTAACATGCAGCATCTACAAAGAAAAGGAGGTCATTATATCTAGTTTTACTTGGAGTTGTTGCAGCTTCTGTAATCATCCTATGTGCTTCCTTCTTTCTGTATCATATGCGAAGATCAACGAAGGTTACTGGTCGAGGTACTCAATATTCCAACAATTTAATGTTTATTCTTTTAATAAAATAAGTATATTTTTCAATGAAAACTCAGAAAGTGATTAACTCTTGAAATTGCCTTCAACTCAGAAAACAGAGAAAGCATCCAGGGAAATGTAGCATTTCACTTGAATGACACTGAGAGACGATCCAGGGATTTGATATCTGCTGACCATTTCACCGTAGATGATAAGAAAGGCATAGATGTACCGATTTTTGACATGGAATGCATACTAGCTGCTACAGATAACTTCTCGGGTGCAAACAAGCTAGGACAAGGGGGTTTTGGGCCTGTTTACAAGGTAAATGACCATGCTGTTTCCTACAGTACTGGAGTTTATTCTGACATGCTGTGTATTGATTTTTGTTCAGGGAAAGTTACCGGGAGGCCAAGAGATAGCTATAAAAAGACTTTCTTATGGTTCAGGGCAAGGCTTGGAGGAATTCAAGAATGAAATTACATTGATCGTCAAACTTCAACATCGTAATCTTGTTAGACTTTTGGGATACTGTGAAGAAGGACGTGAGAAAATGTTGGCCTATGAATACATGCCAAACAAAAGCTTGGATGTGTTCATATTTGGTTAGCCTCCTTAAACTTAACTACTAAACATTTTTCTATGCTGATGGGAAACAGATAATTTAAGATGATTGCTAACTTTATTCTCTCAATGGAAATTGAAACCATACAAGATCGGACGCTGTGCGTGTTATTAAATTGGGAACTGCGCTTTAACATTATCATGGGAATCGCTCGAGGACTGCTTTATCTTCACCGCGATTCAAGGCTGAAGATCATTCACAGAGACTTGAAAACAAGCAATGTCCTCTTAGATGAGGAGATGAACCCCAAAATTTCTGATTTCGGCTTGGCAAGGATCTTAAGAGGCAAACAAACAGAAGGAAACACACAGAGAGTTGTTGGGACTTAGTAAGTTCTATTATGCGCGCAGATTGCTTTCCTAACCATGGGATACATCCAATGTTGATTACATTTCTGTCTCAGCTAACATAATACAAACTCACCTGTCATGCAGCGGCTACATGGCACCGGAGTATGCAATGGATGGGGATTTCTCAACGAAGTCTGATGTCTTTAGCTTCGGTGTGATTGTACTTGAAATTCTCAGTGGAAAAAGAAATGCGGCATTTTACAAGTCTGATCAAAATTTTAGCCTCTCAGCTTATGTAAGCAATGGAAATTTTCAAAGCCACATCTTCCTTTTCTTTCTCTACCATTTAAAAATTTTGATTTTTAAACTTTGTCACAGGCATGGAAGTTGTGGAAAGAGGAAAAGGTACTGGATTTGATGGACCGAGCATTATGCGATACTTGTGACGCAAATGAATTTGTGAGGTGTGTGAATGTTGGCCTCTTATGTGTGCAAGAACATCAATGGGATCGTCCCACCATGTCAAACGTAGTTTTCATGCTTGAAAGTGACACTGCATCTCTACCAACTCCTAAGAAACCAGCATTTGCAGCAAGCAGATCCCTCTTCAACACTGCTTCTTCTTCTAGCAAAGCAGATTCATACGTCGATTTAACAAATACGTTAGAGCAAGGAAGATAATTGGGGGAAGGGGTTAGAAAATGTTGCTCTCCCTTTATATCAATCTAGCAGGGTTTGTCGTACTTTCCAATATAAATCTGCTGTTTTTGTCTATCTTGTCCCATTAACTCAGAGCCATTCATTGTCTTAAAAGTTTGTCATTCATTCTGATCAAATAATTTGTATTGAGATTACATAAAAGCCAGAATAATGTTTTGTATGTGTACTTGACAGTAACAGGCATGAAAGAGTGACATTGGAAGCAACTATATTGTGCAGGACAAGCCGTGGAACCAACATTCTGATGCACATACAAGACTTAAGGCTTAGCCATACATGTCAGGCTAGTTCTGCCCTCATTGACATACACATTATGAAACTGTTTTAACAAGCCCTAATCAAATACAATATAGTGGAAAATAAGGAAAAAATTCAACAAAAAAGTATATATTTTTAAACAAGTTCTTATAATTTTTGAATGGCAAAGTGCTGAAGGCTGAGGAAATTAATCCCCCATTTGTTTTTGTGGTGGTAAAGTTTTTTTATTTTATTGTATTTTATTTTTGCTTTAATTTTTTTAATGTTTTTACATTGTTTTGACACGTTGATATCAAAAATAATTTTTTAAAAAATATATTATTTCAATATTTTATATAAAAATATAATTTTTCTGAAAAAATTCAAGACGACATCTTTTTGAAATGTTGGAACAACAACATATTGGATTGATTCAGGTTAACTTGTAAAATCCACAACCATGGTCATGAGACCATGATAACCTTATAGAAAGTAAACTAAAATAAATTATGAAGTCTAATTCCCCATCAATCTAATGTTGAAGGATGGGATTAAAAAAATAAGTTAATTAAAAAAGATATAAAAAAATTGAGTCAACCTAAATTAACTTGCTAAACTCATAACCTAGGTAATGAGATCGGGATAACTCCACTGAAAGCTAATCAAAACAAATTATGAAACTCAACTTCCAATCAACTCAATGTTGTAATATGAAATTAGAAAAAAATCAATTAAAAAATTATATAAATAAATGATTCAATTCAACCCGAATTAACACACAAACTCGTGACCTGGGTTAACACGCTAAACACATGACTCAGGTTATGATACAGGGATAACCTCATTAAAAACAAAAAAAAAAGCCTTAGTCAACCCAATTTATCATTCCAAACTCTCAACTTGGGTTATAAGGCTTGTATAACCATATAAAAAGAAAATAAAAATTTATTTTGAATCATAATTCCTAATCAATCTAATGTTGAAGGATGAAATTGAAAAATAAATTAAAAAAACTAAAAAAATTGCCTGATTCAACCTGGATTAGCTCCCATGACTTAAGTTATAAGATCAAGATAACCTTATAGAAAGTAAATCAAAACAAATCATGAAATCTAATTCTCAATGAATAAAATATTGAAAGATGAAATTTGAAAAAAAAAATATATAATCTAAAAAAAAACCTAAGTCAACCAAATTAATTTACCAAACTTATATCTCATATCACGAGATTAGGACAACCTTATAGAAAGTAAATAAAACAAATAATAAAGTTTAATTTGCAATAAAATAAATGTTGAAGGATCAAATTGAAATTGAAGAAATTAACAAAAAATTAACAAAATAAATAAATTAACTAGGTTAACTCATGAGACATGCACCCTACATCATGAGATTGAGACAACATCATAAAAAGTAAATCAAAAAAATTAAAATGTTTAATTTTTAATGAATCAAATATTAAATGATAAAAAGTGATGCGCAATCAAAGCACCATCTCTTCTAGTATTTTGTTAATTTATCTGTATATTAAAAATTGTTAAAAGAGGTTACAATGAGTGAACTATACAACATAAAAATCAAAGCATATTGACAATGGTCTTTAGGTCATTGCTAGATTATTCTTCGCGCTATACTATGGATTGGATTAATTTTTTCTAGACATAAAAATAATATCTTGGTGTTGTTAATATCGTTTATAGCATAATGATGTGACATTGTCAACTTGACAAGTTAAAAAAAAACTCAAATAACTTATAAAAAATATAGTTTGACTAAAAAAATTAAGATGATATTTTTACAAAAAGATTAAAATAACAACATATTAGATCAACTCGGATTAACCTATCAAATCCATTATCAAGGTCATGAAACCCTGATAACCCTATAAAAAGCAAATCAAAAAAATTATTAAACTAAATTCTCAATCAACTCAATATTGAATGATGAAATTGAAAAAAAAAAAAAGAACCGAGTCAACTTTGGTAAACTTGATAAACTTGGCTTATGAGATTAGGATAATCCCATAGAAAACAAATTATAACGCTTAATTCTAAATCAACTTAATGTTAAAGGATGAATTTTTTTTAAAAAAATAAAATATCACTCAAGTTAACTGATCAAACCCGTGACCCGGGTCACAAGACCAAGATAACCTTATAGAAATTAAATCAAAATAAATCATTAAGTATAAATTCTAGTCAACCCCATGTTAAATAATAAAATTGAAAAAGTTTCAACTAAAAAAAAAACTAAGTTAATTGGCTTAACCTACAAACCAGGTCATCAAACCATGATAACCCAATAAAAAGTGAATAAAAAAAATATAAAGTTCAATTCTCAATCAATATAATATTGAAGGATTAAATTGATTTAAAAAATATTAAAAAAATAACTCAAGTCAATCTAGGTTAACTTGTCAAACTCGGGTAAAGAGATCAAAATAGCTCTACATAAACAAAATTAAAAACAATTATAAAATTTAATTTTCAATAAACTCAATGTTTATGGATTAAATTAAAAAAATCAATTAAAAAAACTCAAGTATGTAACAACCCATCTTTTCAAGCCCAAAACAATTGAATTTTTTTTTCATATTTAACATGCATCGTGTCAGTAAACAACGAACATATTTTCTCACATCATCAATATACAATTCATACATCAACAACTATCAACATTTCATTTAAAAGTGAATCTTACATAAACTCATAATATTATATTTGTATGATTAGAAATTCACATTTAAAATATACATACATAGACATGAGTTTATATTCTATCCTATAAATAGTCATCACGAATTTAAGCTAAAAGGATCTAATAATAGTTATACATTCAGTACATTAATTCATACAAAACACATCATCATTTAAAATGTAACTATATGATTCCTTGTAAAAGTAGGTTCTCGAGTATTGGGCTTCTTAGACACCTTATTGGTGTGACGCCCCTACTACAATACAAAATATTTACAAGAATGCAATTACTTAATAATAATAATAAAACGGTTTGGCAGTTTAATGAAGCATTAACATTATGTCATGTTTGAAGTGTAACATTTGTAATTCCTTCATGTTCTTAGTATACTCAACTTGTAGTACATATAGATGCACCAATTCTTACAATCAGCCATAATCTTAAATCTGGCCATCCTCTTAAAGTATCATTTGTCGAGTTTAACTATTCACTCACCCCAGCCAACTCCTACGAATGCCATCAACCAAAGCTAATCATTCATTTATCCGGGTCATCTATTCTGAAGCCAATAGCCAAAGTTAATTAATTGTTTGTCTTGGTTATCCTTTCAGATGTAATTAGTTAAAGCAAATCATTCTTTTATCTCATTCATCCCCAAAGCTAATCATTCATTTATCCCGGTCATCCATTTAGAAGCTGTTAGCCAAAGCTAATCAATCGTTTATCTTGGTTATCCCTTCAGATGCACTTAGCTAAAGCAAATCATTCATTTATCTCGGGCATCCCTTTAGATACCATTGGCCAAAGCTAATTATTCATTTGTCCCAATCATCCCTTCGGATGCAATTAGCTGAAGCTAGTTAATTATTTGTCCTAGTCATCCCTTTGGATGCCATTAGTCAAAGCTAATCAATTATTAACATTTAAGCATTTAACAATCTAGTATCTAAATTAACATAATACAGTAACATTCATGATAAAGTATTTTTCATTATTCAACATTATTAAAAAGGAAGATGAAGTCACCTACCTGCAATAGAAGCTCTACTCATGTTCCCTCCTTTAGTCACAAACTCATCTCATAAATTTTTCTCATTCAAGGATATGTTATAAAATAATCATATAAATAGCTAATAGATCTTTCTTTCAATCATTTCTTTCTTTATATCTTATGTTTTTCTTATTACACCCATTAATGTTGTTATCCTTTATCCAACCATAGTTATCATTCCTTCAAGTCGATATTACATAGAATCCATATTCATCCATTACTCATATGTTACTTTCTATGCATGTTCATTTTCCTCATAATAACATACATACATACATATATCATGTATATTTTCAATATTAGTATCTCAATGTGCAAGTGTTCGTATGAGTCAATTCTTTTATATTCTTATATATAGTATTCATGTGAAAGTCTATTGTTACTGTCTAACTTTGAACTGTTGTTGTCTCATTTCCAATTGTTACTGTCTAACTTTGAATTGTTACTATCTTAGTTCTAACTGTTACTGTCTAACTTTGAACTGTTACTGTCTCATTTCCAATTGTTATTGTCTAACTTTGAACTGTTATTGTCTTAGTTCTAACTGTTACTGTCTAACTTTGAACTGTTACTGTTTAAACATTTGAATTGTTACTGTCTACACATTAAACTGTTACTGTTCAACCATTATTGTTTAACTTTGAACTGTTACTATCTCATTTCCAATTGTTACTGTCTAATTTTCAACTATTACTGTCTAATTTTGCCTTAGATTTTTACTAATATTTAGAGCTATAAAACTCTATTTCAAGTGAGATTGGTCTCATTGGAAAGTTAAGACATGAGGCTACAAGTTCTCTAAAGAAAGAAGAATCTAGTTCTACCTCTAAGATAGTTAAAACTGCTCATAAAAATAATAATCAAACTTACTACTCTACAGGGTCTATCATGACCCAGTCTCGATTGGTAACCCATAACCGGAGTTCTACAGCTCCAAATTAAGCAAGACCAATTTCCTTAGTTATCTAACATCTAAGACTACAATTTCTATGAAGAACCTGGTTCTCATTCCCTCATCCTCCTATCCGAAATCTACTAAAAGTCAGGAGACGAGTATATCTATATTCGTCACCTCCCTTTCCTTTCACACATAACTTTCACAACTATATTTTCTGGGTAAATTATCATGGTTTCACATCCTTAATCACATACCACACATGAATTAATTTAATTTTAACAATAAATACTTTTCCCTAATTCAAGTTTAAGAACCCTAATCTATAATTCACATCAAGACATTAATTCATTATCGAATATGAAATGACTTATAAGATCATGTTTAGAACACCTTACCCAGAACGAATTAAGGTTTTGATCTTCAACTAGTTGAAGATTTTTCAACTCCCTCCTTTCTTATCTAATGACAACCAGCCCTTCATCTTCTCTTCTTGTTCAATTTTCTTGTTAATCTCTTGCCCACAAGTGTTTATTCCATCTATAAACCCTTAATCTTGGATAGGTTCTTGAAATTTTGGTGTTTCTCTCTTGATTTTGCAAGAATGAATATAAAATTTCCCTCTTTTCTTTTCTTATGATTTCTATAGATTTTTGAGTGAGAATAAAAGTATTTATGCTCTATAATTTTTTTGTATTTGTATTTAGGCCCCCACATCTTTTTTTTTCTTATAATTAAGTTATACCTCTTTTCACTTCTTATGATTTCACCCCACAACTTTTAGCTTAATTTATTTTCTTTAATTTAATTTAACCCTTAACATTTTCAGGTTGATTTTTAATGTCTCGAAATTTTTCATCCAGAAACTTATATTAAAATTTTTATAAATTCCTGTTTTTATTTAACCATATGCATGAATTTTTTCACTATTATTTCTCATGTCATTAGTTTACAATTTACGCAACCTTTATTTTTTTTTCCGGGGTTTACAAAGACAATCTAACTAACTAACAAAACTCATGACCCGGATTATAAAACTATGATGTTTTGATGTTAAGCAAGCTTGTTGTTATAAGAGTGGTATTTATATTTCCTTTTATGAATTGTGAGAGTGTTCAAACTATCCCATATTATTATTATAATTTTAAAAACTTTAAAATTAACATTTAAAGATATAATTTTAAAAAAATAAGAGCTATCATGTTCCTAAACATTTTTTTAATAAGCTCTCATGTAATGTTAAGGACAAATGAAGGGATAATTAAGCACATCATTGACATCCAAGGACTTAATTAACTTTGTGAAAACGAGATTCAATTAAACATTTTGTTAGAATATAAAGACTAACACTGTCGGAAGCATGAGAAAGAATAGTCATACAAGAACAGATGCAATAAAAACGCGATGATCTCTCCTAAGTTGTTGGAAAGCTTATTTCTTTACATATACCAAACTAATATAAAAGCAATATTAAAACTCCTCTTTAAAACCATATGATATATATCATAGTTGTAAAATCTAGATTAACCTAAAGGATTGATTTGAAATCTGATTAACTTATTATAGTTATAAAATCTAAATTAATCTAAGAAGTTAATTTAAAATTCGATTAACTTGGAGCCTGAAATAGTATGAGTTGAAAACAAAATTCTCAATTAATAAAATCAAAAACTTGAGTTTACCAGGATCTAATCCAATAAAAAACCAGTTTTTAATTTGTTGATGTTTTTGAAAAAATTGATTAAAAATTTTATTTTCATTCTTTTTTAAAAGAAAATTGAAGGATGACCCGGATTAATTTTATTGATTTGTAACCTGGATCTTACCCAAGATAAACTCGGGTCGAGCTGACTGGTATTGGGAAAAAAAAAAGAACAAAAGAAGAAACGCCTCAGGCAAGCTAAAAGGTTACATAATAAAGAGAATATACAATAGACCGAGCCCAGCCCATATGATAAAATACCACATTGTCTCACAAAGAAGGTGTCCATCTTGCAATTATTCATGCCTCTCAGTACAGTTTGAGGCCTTAGGGAATCCAAATTCGAAAATATAAAATAAGGGTTTAGTGGTTCAAAATGTTTACCCCTGCTACATATGTCATGCCGAGTTACGCTGTTTGGGACGCGAAGTGGTCAGAGTTGAAGAAGTAGGTGGTGGCCTGAGCAGTGGCAGGTGTCTCCGTGGGGTTGTTCTGTGAACAATATTGTTCATAGAACAGTTATAATATTGATAGTATGACAGATTAATAAGAAGAAAAAGAGAATGATTGGATTTTTTTAAAAAAATATTTAAAAACTATCTTAATTTAAAACTTCAACCACTGTATAAGGATTAAAACCTAATTTTATATTAAGTCATAACTAAGTGTGAAGCCTGCACAACACCATAGTAAAAAACAACACTCTAATAACCATCTCTATGCAGAAATTTAAACCTGTTGATGAGAACCAACTCTTTTGAACTTACTACTGCATCCCCTCAAATGATTTTATATAATAGAATGTACTTAAATAAAAAAAATGAGAGCTTTTAGTGCTGCATTACCATCTCTCCGGCGTTCTCATGCCAATCTCCCACGTCTATGTGCCGCGAGGTGCACACCCACATCTGCCGTTCATGTTCCTCTTTCAAGGCATTCAACTCTCTGTCGCGCTCCAGCATTTCCTGTGCATGTTCCTCTTTCAAGGCTTGAATCTCTTTTTGATGATGCTCACCTAAGGCAATCAGCTTCTGCAAAAAGTATGTAGACGAAATTAATGGATATCATACGAGACAAGATGTAAGCCTTATTAGGACATTCAAGCATTCAAATACACATCAATTTACATGGTTCGACAACTTGCCTCCTCTACGGAGCTACTAGTTTGTATTAATCAAGCTTAAAAGCAATACAAACAACAAAATAAGGAGGAGGAGAAAAAATTTCTCTACTCAACTCAACTCTCACTCTTAGCTCTCTCTGTGTTTCTCTATATTTCGTGTGATGCTCAGCTATCAATGACACCCTCTATTTATAGCTAATATGGGAGACAATCTTCTTCCTTTGTCAATTATGGTAGGCACCATTTTTCTTTGTTTAAGCACCTACCATTGACTCTTGCATTGTAATCATATGGCTGCCACCTACTATTTGTGTCCATACATAACAATCTCCCACTTGGACACAAATGGCGCTAGATCTGTCTTTTAATCTTGAAGACCAACTGAAGCTTTACACAGCTTTAGTTTATCAAGAGTAACTCCTTTAGTTAACATGTCAGCTGGATTCTTGCTTCCACATATCTTTTTAAGTAATAGTTGTTCATCGTCGAGCAATTGCCGGATAAAGTGATATTTAATCTGTATGTGCTTTGTTATGGAGTGAAATGCTGGATTTTTGGCAAGGAAGATTGCACTCTGACTGTCACTATACAAAGTACCCTTTCCATTCATCTTGCCCAATTCTTGTAGGAAACTCTGTAGCCATACTATCTCTTTTGCAGATTCTGAAACTGCAACATATTCAGCTTCTGTTGTTGAAAGAGCGACTATCTTTTGCAAGGTAGAACTCCAAGAAACAGCAGTGCCTCCTAGAGTGTATATATAACCTGTAGTACTCTTTCTGCTATCAACATTTCCTGCTAGATCAACATCTACAAAACCTTTAAGTTTCAAACCACCAGTTGTGAAGGTAAGACGTGTCTCCGATGAGCCTTTTAAGTATCGCATGATCCATTTCACTGCCTCCCAATGCTGCTTTCCAGGATTGCTCATATATCAGCTTACAACTTCCACTGCATGAGCAATGTCTGGTCTATTACAGACCATAACATACATCAAAGAGCCGATAGCTGAAGCGTATGGAATCTTATCCATGTATCCACATTCTAGCTCAGTTTTTGGTGACTGGTCTCTACTAAGCTTGAAATGATTCCCCAGAGGTGTACATACTGGCTTAGCATTATCCATACTAAACCTGCTGAGAACCTTCTTGACATATTCTGTCTGTGAAAGCTTTAATATGCCTTTATCTTTGTCTCTAATGATTCTCATGCCAAGTATTTGTTTAGCAGCTCTTAGATCCTTCATTTCAAACTGTTTTGACAACTGTTGCTTTAGCTTGTCAATCTCTTCCATGCTGGATCCTGCAATCAACATATCATCCACATACAACAGTAGAATGATATAGGAGTTGTCAAAATATTTGACATAGCAACAATGATCAGCCTGACATTTTGTGTATCCCGAACTACACATGAAGTTGTCAAACTTCTTGTACCACTGTCTTGGAGCTTGCTTCAAACCATATAGACTCTTCTTTAGCTTGCAAACTTGATTCTCCTTTCCTTGTATTGCAAACCCCCCTAGTTGTTGCATGTAAATATCTTCCTCCAATTCACCATGAAGAAATGTTGTTTTTACATCTAATTGTTCAAGATGTAAATTTTTTGCAGCTACTATCCCCAGAACAACTCTAATTGTTGTAAGCTTCACAACTGGAGAAAATATCTCAGAATAGTCAATCCCTTTCTTTTGCTGAAACCCTTTTACAACAAGTCTTGCCTTGAACCGTTTGCTTCCGTCATGCTCAGTCTTTACTCTGTAAACCCACTTATTTTGCAAAGCCTTCTTTCCTTCAGGCAGTGTGGTTAGCTCCTAAGTCTTGTTCTTAAAAAATGACTCCATCTCATCCTTTATGGCTAACTCCCACTTGCTCGAGTTTCCATCTTGTAAAGATTCTTCATAAGTTAATAGTTCACCATCATCTGTGAGCAAGATATAATTCAGTAGAAGTGTGAACCGTTATGGAGGCTTTATAGTCCTTGAAGACCTGCGAACAGCTGGTTCATTTGGCTCTGCATTGTCTTGTGTAGTAGTGGTGGGTACTGATGTGCTTGAACTTTCTTGTAAGGACTTTTGAGTGGTAACATCGGGAAGCCCTTCTTATTTTATGAATTCAGATTTTTGTGGACTCGTATCTGAATCAACCATCTCTGTTTCTGTACTTGATCTATCTTTGTACAAAACTTTCTCATTGAAGATCACGTTCCTGCTTCTGATAATCTTCCTGTTTTGATCATCCCAGAACCGAAATCCAAATTCTTCATCTCCATAGCCAATAAAGAAACATTTCTTTATTTGGCATCCAGCTTGTTGCGAGCATCAAAATCTACATGCACATAGGAAACACACCCAAAGACCTTTAAATGAGAAAGTTGTACTTCTTTTCCTCTCCAGACTTCCTCGGGCAGTCTGAACTCCAAAGGAACTGATGATCCATGGTTGATCAAGTAAACTGCAGTGTGAACTGCATCAGCCCAAAATGTTTGAGGTAACCCAGAATGCAACCTCATGCTTCTAGCTCATTCATTGATGGTCCTGTTCATCTGTTCAGCAATGTCATTCTGTTGTGGTGTGCCTGGAACTGTCTTTTCCATTCTGATATCGTTGACAGCGCAATACTCCTTGAAACCTCCATCAATTTATTCTCTTTCATTGTCAGATCGTAAGCATTTTAACTTCAAACCTGATTCAGTCTCAACCATAACCTTCCATTTCTTGAATGTGTCAAACACATCAGATTTATTTTTCAGAAAGTAGACTCATACCTTCCTGATGAAGTCATCAATAAAAGTCACATAGTACCGAGAACCTCCAAGAGATGCTACTGGAGTTGGTCCCCATAAATCTGTGTGCACCAGTTCTAGCTTTCTTAGTCTTAAGGTCCTGTCAACCTTTAAGAAACTGAGCTTCTTCTGTTTTCCAAGAACACAGCTTTCACAAATGTCTAGATCAACATTTTTTAACTCTGGCAGCTTTCCCTTTGATTGAAGTATCTTCATCCCCTTTTGACTCATATGGTCGAGTCTACAATGCCATAGCTGTGCCTGATTTTCTGCTTTAATAGAGGCAATTATATGTTGATCTTGTGGTCATATACAGGGTGCCGGTTTTCTTTCCATGAGCCAAAACCATTGCTCCTTTTGATACCTTCCACATTCCTCCATAAAAAAGGATTGAATGGCCATTATCATCAAGTTGTCCGACCGAGATCAGCTTCTTCTTTAGTCCAGGAACATGCCTTACATTTTGCAAGTTCTATATAGATCCATTCATTGTCTTGATTTGCACATCTCTTATACCCACAATATCCAATGGTTGTCCATCGGCCAGATAGACTACCCCGTAATCTCCAGCAATATAGTTTTGCATCATTTCATGGTGTGGAGTATAGTGAAATGAAGCTCCAGAATCAAGAACCCAATCATCAATAGGACTATGTACAACAAGAATCAAAGCATCTTGTATCTCGTCTGTAGTGGCGTTTGCAGAATCAGCTTCAAGTTTTTTCAGTTTTGTGCAACTCCTCATGAAATGACCAGGTTTGCCACAATTCCAACATTTAACCTGCTTCCTAGGTCCAAACTTGCTTTTACTTCTGTACCTGGATTTTGATCTGCCTCTAGATAAGCCTTTGTCTTGTCTCCTTCCTCGAGTGTTGATGTTGAGAGCTGAACCTGAACTTGAGCTTTCACCCGAGTCTTTCCTTCGTACTTCTTCAGCTAAAATCAGGTCTCGGATGTCATCATATTTTAATTTGGATTTTCTGGCTGAGTTGCTTACGGTTGTTCTCATACCTTCCCAACTGCTTAGAAGTGAAGTTAGCAAAATAAGTACTCGGATCTCATCATCAAACTCAATCTCAACAGATGACAATTAATTTGTGATGGTGTTGAAATTATTGAGATGCTATGTAATAGAGATGCTTTTTGTCATCTTCAGGTTGAACAGCTTCTTCATCAAGTGCACTTTGTTATTTGCTGATGGCTTCTCATACATCCCAGACAAGGCTTCCATCAATCTTGCTGTGGATTTCTCTTTTGTAACATTATGAGCAACTCTTCTTGACAATGATAGCCAGATAATGCCCAAAATTTATCTATCAAGAATATGCCAATCTTATTCTGATATGTTTTTTGGTTTGCTCCCCAACAGAGGAAGATGAAGTTTATTCCCATATAGATAGTCTTCAATTTGCATTTTCCAATATCCAAAATCAGTTCCATCAAATTTTTCAATTCCCGTAGCCTTTATTTCATCTACCATTTTTAATCTTTCTTGAATTCGAATCTGCAAAATCTAACCTTATAGATGTGTCCAGAATGGCCAAAACTACTAGAAACGATACTGAGATCATCCAAATCAGACTTCGGATGGCTCAAATATAAATAATCAAACTTTTGGATCACTAGACGCTACAGATGAAGCCACGTGTCAGGAGGAATAGTCGCTGCGCCACATTGGATCAAAACCCAGAATGCTGACATGGATATGCTGACGTGTCAGTCACGTAGGCCCCACAATTATGACGTGGCAGAGCCACGTGGATTTTGGACTAACGTGGCAGTGATGTCGTGTCAGATGATGTGGCAGATGATGTGTCAGGTGACGTGGCTAATGACTGTGCAGAACGGCTTGCGTGGCTGCTGACGTGTTAGGTCAACCCGGTTCAGTTTGCAAAAAACAGGCGAGGAAGATGCATGAAGAGCGTGAGGCGCGTCAGTGCGCGTGGGCAGTGTAGGTGGCGGCGCGTGCAAGCGCGTGCGGGCATGCAGGACATCGGTTTTTCACCGGGTTTTCACCAGTGGATTCCTCTTGTCTTCCTCTTCACGATGGTATGTTCAAAAACATGTTTTGAGAACTTTGATTTTTGAGTTTGGATCAAACACCCTCTTTTTCAAGAACAAGCTCTGATACCAGTTATTAGGACATTCAAGCATTCAAACACACATCAATTTACGTGGTTTGACAATTTGCCTACTCCACGGAGCTACTGGTTTATATTAATCAAGCTTAAAAGCAATACAAACAGCAAAACAAGGAGGAGGAGAAAAAACTTCTCTACATAACTCAACTCTCACTCTTAGCTCTCTCTGTGTTTCTCTCTATTTCGTGTGATGCTCAGCTATCAATGGCACCCTCTATTTATAGCTGATATGGGAGACAATCTTCTTTCTTTATCAATTATGGTAGGTATCATTTTTTTTTATTTAGGCACCTACCATTGACTCTTGCATTGCAATCACATGGCTGTCACCTACTATTTGTGTCCATACATAACAAGCCTTCTATCGAGGAGTGAGTATTATTCATCTACATCCGCTTTCAAAGAGATCATGTACGCAAATTTTCTAATTAAAGTTTATATTTGTAAGCATGAGAGTCCTAAAGTTTACTCATCAATAATGTATACTAATATAATTTACTATGAAAAGGTTCCCAGATTTAAACCAAATGGAATCGTAACAGCATTTCACGGTGTGGCACAAGGGACGTATATACTCGTCCCAAGTTTTGTGAAAAGATCAGCTTGTAGACTATAGTGTATGAAGAGAAAATCCCACCTTCCCTATTTCAAGTATAGAATCACTTTGACTCTTTTCCACGAGCTTCTTTCTCTCACCTTCTTTCTCTCACGGTAATCTTTGTTGATCTCCGGTGTGCTTTTCTTCCGCTTATGACCAGAGCCTGCGTGTTTGAACGTGTATGCATGAGCTGCTTTGGGGCAGACATGCATGAATACTATTACAGTTAACTTTTTTCCTTCCTTTTCAATTGTATTCCTGATTTACTCTCTAACTAAGGTTGTCTGTATAAATTGTTTTTCCTATAAAAATGGTCCGCTAACCTCGTTTTTAGTATCTGTTTGACTTGGCATTATAATTGAAAAAATAGCTAATAAACCAATTAAAATGATATTATAATTAGCTTAGGTCACCAATATAAATCAAAACGGTCACACATCAAATACATCATACATTCATACTAGTACTGAAAACATGTTTTACTAGAGAGAAATATAATATTGTGACAGCACATAATATTGTGGACCATTCATATTTTACAGAAGAAAAAATTGCAATTTAACATTGGATGCACACTAATCATTTATGGTTTTGATTTTTCAAAGAAACAATGAAAAAGCAAGTGAAGTGTTATCATTTTTCAAAGAGTCATGATATCAAATTCTTAGCCTCTTAATTATTTGTGATAAATAATTATTAAAAAGAGGTCTATAATATTTTATAATCTGTTTGAAATTGTATCTGTTTATCAAGTTTTAAAATATTAAATTATATATTCTTGATTAACATAAATTTTTAAATTAAATAAAACACCAAGCTATTCTTATATATAATACATTAAAAATTCAAACAAAAAAACAAATTAAAATTTCATCTCCTACAAGTACAATTTCTCTCCTCAAAAGCCCTAAAAAAATCTCAAATTAAAGCTCGGGAAGAACCCTCAAGTTTTGAATCATCTCTTTGAATCTCTACTAACCCCAAGTTGAATTTATTAATCTCAAATTAATATCCTCTCTAAGTGTATATATCTACGCTCCCTACAAATCCAATATCAATCATCCACCCATTGTTTCTTTTTCATCCGGACTTCAGTGAGAGAAATCAAAGATTATTCAACAGATCGGATGCTTAAAACATTTCCTTATCATATATTCATCTATCTAACTAGATCTAACCATGTATCTATGTATTTAGCCAAAAAAAAAACGAGAACATATATCATTCAACTCCAAGAGATTTTAAATAGGTGAAGTCTCAAAATCATGAAATATTAAATGGTTATTTTTATTTTTTTATCTTATAATATAGTCTCGAAATTATGAAAGATTAAATGGTTTATACAATGCAAACTACTAGATATAACCACAATTATTTGACTTACCGGTGATACATGGATCTTGAAGATCCTGAACCGAACTGGAATCCTCCTTCACTAAATTCCCTGCCATCTTCGAACCTCCTGAAGATATACAATTTCAGTGTTTTTTTTTTTTTTTTGGAGAGGTAGGGAGAGGCTACAGTGGATAAATAATCCCATTTGGGCAAGGCCATGAAACAGCCAATCAAGGGATCAATTCTAAAGTAAATCGTTCGATATCGAAGGATTCAATAAATTAGTGCTTCATGAAGTAGGTGTACTCCTACCCCTATATAGTTTAATAATTCCTAATATTAATTATCCCTATACTTCTTATAACTTTCTATTTTCCCGCTTAATAAATAACAAAAAGCTTGCTCTTGACTTCCTTTTTATTTTTCCTACTTTTCTCAGATTCCCCCTGATTCCTCATATATGCTTCACTATATCTCACAAAAAAAAACACTTAAGATCCTAAACATCCAAATAAAAACAAGTTTGTGATTTCATAGCTAGAAGTGTCATGGAAACTTTTTGAAAATTTGAAGGGTAATATTTGAAACTTAAGAATTTAAGGATGAAAGTTGAATGTTGATGAATTTGTAAGGACAAAATTCAATTTTACCACTAGAAAAGGAAAACATTATAAAAACGTGCTAAATATAACATCAATTATGTCTTGCACTTGATAAATTATTTATGAGTAAATTTAAGTGTTCTCAATCCATTAATTATACATGCTTATGAACTACGTTAAAATAACTTGGAATTCAGAAGGGAAAAAAACTATTACATTATCAAAACCTCAAAAATTAAAAACATTATATATTAAATAACTCAAAGCCATTTTACTACTAAATTAAAACAGCTGATTTCATCTTATTCATTTAGGTAATTGATTACAGTATTTATATCCTACACTTAGCATAATAAAAGAATCGGTTATAGCTAAAAGATTAATACCAAACTTGACAATAGAATCTAACCACCTACAATGCTCATCGTGGCACCTTCATTGTTCTGCTCATTGGTACATATTCTTCATTGTATTAACTACAGACTTAATCGTATCGATGAATATTCAATATGCCCTTTCAAGATGAGATTCATAAGAAATGTCAAGAATAATAAATGTTATGAAGACTCGTCTAGGATAGTAAGAGATGAAAATGAATGGAACCAAAAGCCTTTGTAAAAATATCAACTAGTTGGTGTTGAGAAGAAACATGAAAAATGCGAAGAACACCTAACTGAATTTTCTCGCGAACCACATAACAATCAATGTCAATATATTTGGTACACTCATGAAAAATAGGATTGGCCATAATGTGAAGAGCAGCTGTACTGTCACAATAAAGAAAAACAATTTGAAGTGGAATTTACAAGTTGTGGAGAAGAGTTTGAAGCCACATAATCTCACGGTAGGTAAACTCCATTGCTTTGTGCTCAGCCTTAGTAGAAGACCAGGAGACTATGGTTTGTTTCTTGGATTTCCAAGAAATTAAAGAACTGTCAAGAAAGATGCAATAGCCTGTTACTGATCATCTAAAATCCAAGCAACCAGCTTAGTCTGAATCACAAAATGCTTTCAGTTATAGGCTAGAGATAACTGGAAAGAACAATCATTAAGCTGGAGATACTTTAATATAGCATAGAACTTGAGTGGTTGCGTCTAGATGAGAAACTCGTAGCTTATCCATAAATTAACTTAAAACCTTAACAACAAAAGAAATGTCAGGTCAACTAATAGTGAGATAGAGTAGTTTGCCAACAAGCCATTTGTATGGAGTAGGATCAGCTAAGAGTTGGCCAAAATCTTTAAAGAATTTCACATTAGAATCCGTTGGAAATTTGGTCAATTTCAAAGCTAACAAAATAGTAGTCTCAAGTATGTGCAAGGTATACTTTCTCTAACAAACAGAGATTCAAAGCTCACTACGAGCTATTTCCAAACTAAGGAAATACTTTAACTGTTTAAGGTCTTTAAGCTTAAATCTGTCATTAAGCATGTGAATGAACGTGGAAACTGTAGTTGAATTATCACTAATCACAACTATATTATCAACATAAACTAATATAGCAATAAATGAATCTGCCAAAGAATAGGTAAACAAAGTGTAATCAGCCTTAGACTGCACAAAACCAAACTCAAACAAGGCAGAAGAAAATTTGGCAAACCATTGCTGCGAAGAATGTTTTAAGTCATCAAGTGATTTTGTGTAGCCTGCAACTTTGGACTCCTCTTTTTTATTAAATCCAGGAGGTAATGACAGATAGACCTCATCATCTAAATCTCCATGAAGAAAAGCATTATTCATATCCAATTGGTGGAGATGTTAATGCTTGACAATAACAACTACTAAAAGGGTTCTCACGGTGGTGAGCTTAACCGTAAGAGAAAAGGTGTCATAAGAGTCCAGTCCTTCACACTGATTATACCCTTTGGCAACTAGCCTAACTTTATACCTCTCCAAAGTCCCATCAGACTTGTGCTTGATTTTATATACCCATTTGCATCCAATAATACGTTTAGAAGCAGGAAGATCAACAACAGTCCAGATATTATTCAATTCAAGAGCTTTGATTTCAGTATTCATAGCCTCACACCATTCCTTACATTGTACAGCTTAAATATACGAGGTGAGCTTAATAAGTGCAAAAACAAAATGACTAAAACATTTCTAAGCAGGAGAGTGATGATCATATGAAAGGATGGACGAAAGAGTATAAGGAATACTTGAAGCCGGAGAAAAAGGTGCAGGCTTTGAAGTGGAGGTTACAATATGACAATGATAATCATGCAAATATATAGGTTTGTGTTTTATCCTAGAGGACTTCCTGCATGGCTGAGGAATAATCTCAGAAGGAGATGCTAAAAGTGGTGATAAGTTAGAGTTTAAGGAAGAAGAAAATAAATGTGAACTAGAGGGTGAATGAGTAACAGAATGGAAAGGAAAAGAATTTGAAGCCATGGGATCAAGGAAAGTAGTTACCGATTCATGCAATGAAAGAGGTAAAGGGAAAAAAAATCAGTGGAATATATAGGATATTTGAGTACAAAAAAGAAAATATAGTTTCATGAAATATAACATCCCAAGAGATAAAGACATTGTTTAGATTTAAATCATAGAGTTTTTAGCCCTTGATGTTATATGGATAGCTAAGAAAGATACAAGGCTTAGCTCTAGGATCAAATTTATATATATTTCTAAGGAGAGTAGTTGCATAACAGAGGCAACCAAAGACTTTCTAATGAGAATAAGATGGAGGAGGTTGGGAAAAAACTTTATAAGGAGATTTATTATGTAATATAGGAGTAGAAACCTAATTACTACTTAAAAGCGTAATTTTATCAAGGTTTTATATCATCGTTTTGCACTTGAAGTATTAATAACTCCTTAACTAAAGCATGTTTTATAATAATAAGTCTGATACCATAAAGTACCTTTAATTTATGGTAAATATTCATATTAATTACAAGCTTATCACATAAATAAAAGGATTGATTAATGAGTTGAAGTATTGAAATTAAAAGGACAAAGAAATGACCAAACTTAGAAAGAGATGCTAGTATAGTTAAAACTAGAACACTGTTCGGTAATTTGGTCATATTTGGAGCTGTAGATCTTGAATTTATGTTCACTTTATATGGATGGAAAAGGTAAGACATAGACCTACAACTTTCATTTGGAAGTCCAAATTTAAAAAGGTCGTTTTCAAGTCCAAATTGTAG